AATATAGCTGATCGTAGGGCATAATTCATGACTTCTCTTCTTTGTCAGTTAGCAATAAAACTTAACTTCAGCTCATAAGAGTCTCGGAGATACTTTCTCTTTCACTCTGAAACTCTTTTTTCTGGTGTCGAAATTGATGTCAACAACAATACAGTCCTCTATAGAAAGCCTCTTGTTTTATGTCAGAAAGAACGATTGCGCTGCTATCTAATTGACTCAGGCATATTCTGTCATCAGATTACTAAATGAATAAACAGTTACGGACCAGATGCTCTAGATTCACAAGATACAGTGCATCTCTTCTATTGCTCATTGATTTGTCTAACGTCTCGTTGCTCTTTGTTATTCTGCCTGATGCATTTTGCGAGAAAAATATGAAAGTAACCAACTCTATTTTAAAAGTTGCCTTTATAATCATCTCATAAAGTTAAATGTCTAGAACTTTCAAGATAAACAATATTTTGTCTCAATAGCTTAATACAGCTTTTTAAACTGTATTATAGAGCAACGAAGCCCTGACTCTGACTTCAATGAGATTTTTACAACTATAACTAAGATCCTAGAGATCCTATATGAATTTCTGGACTGCAAATTATTATTATAAATGTTCTATAAATCCCACGGAAATACAGGCAATCCTATGGAAATCCCAGAAATCCCATGGCAATCCCATGGAAATTGCGGAAATCCCATGGAAATCCCGGTAATCCCATGGAAACCCCAGAAATCCCATGGAAATCCCAGAAATCCCATGGTAATCCCGGCAATCCCATGGAAATTCCGGAAATCCCATGGAAATCCCAGAAATCCCATGGAAATCCCAGAAATCCCATGGAAATCCCAGAAATCCCATGGAAATCCCGGAAATCCCGGAAATCCCATGGAAATCCCGGAAATCCCAGGAAATCCCGGAAATCCGAAATCCGCCGTTTCCCCCTTGTCAACAAGTTTTGGCTAAAACCTTTTATAGTTGTCAACTTTTTAGTTAGAGCTAAAACTAATGTCCGAAAAATGGTGCCTAAATCTGGAAACCAAAAAGTTTTAGCATCTTCGTTACAACCCTAAACAGTTCCCTATAATGAGACTGTTTCACAAACTATAAAATCTATAAACTGACGATTAATTTAATTACAACAATTATGACTTTTTATTTTTCTTACTAACATCTGCAATAAAAAAGACCAAGTACTTGAAATCAGTTCCTTCCGTTTGATTCGACATCAATTTCCGTTGAACGTTTCCTTCATCTCAATCAAATGATCGACTAATCTTCGTCACTGAAAAACACAAAAAAAAAATTTTTCTTCGATACTTCGTTTTCTGTAAGGATCCACCGTCATTAACGCAAAAGTTTCTCTCTTGCGAAGCGTGCTCGTTCGTCCGCATTAGCTCACTCAAAACAAAATTCAAGTCTATATCTAGTATGCTTTTTTCAAGTTTCAGACAAATTTTTGTGTTAAGTAATGGAAAATGTAACAATTTCAATTTTGCCTACAAATACTGGTAGAATACCGAGCAACTTGAATTACTTCTCTAACGTATGACTTTGGTAGATATCGGTAATATCTATCGATTTTCGTGGGTTTCTGAGATTCACTCTGATGGATTTTAACTTAGAATTTGCGCATATTTTGAAAGTCGTAGAGAAGTGTTCTCGTATAAGTAATTTGTTAGAGAGGATACTAACAAGTGTCCATTTTTTAAAATTCTTTATCATCTTCTTTGTTGTTCTTGCCTGATATATTTAAATTCATCTCTTTTGGTACATCTGCATCATGTGCATATAAAGGCCTATCTACTTTTCTCGCTCCTTTTCCTCTCTTTCTCTCTCTCTGGTGCTTGTGGAGATGGTTTAGGTAATGTATGATTAGCTGAACTTTTCTTAATCAATCGACTGTTTTGTACATGAAAAAACAAATTCTCTCGTTTTGTTTTAATTTTTGCTATCCACAGGGACCTGTGTAACAGTGACTAATTTATTGCATAATCACATCATGTTTCGATATATGCAAAAAGAAAAAGAATAGGAATCTCGTGAATGAAAGATAAACATTTTCCTTATGACTAATATGAACACATACGCCTTTGCTTCCATTCTGTACACTGTATTGTCTCTCCATATCTTACCATTGGTTTATGCTATCACTAATATAATTTTGTTGCACAACATGTTAATTCATCATGTTTAGCTACCTTCTTATGAACTCCGATACATTTTGGACGTAAGACAATATTTCGTTGCATTATTACGCCACTAATATGTGGCATTTATTTTCGACCTGGTTCCTCAGCGATTCCTCTGCTAATATTCACCAATATCATTTGACTATACTCATGTATGTCAGATGAGAGCATGAAATCTATACATCCACCAGTGGCATAACGATACCAAGAGTTGTATAAAGGATTCTTTTCAAAATGAAGATGAACTAATCAAAGTTACAGTCAACAATAGAAATCATATAGAGACATATCATAAATACTCGTTGCTTCAATGACGAATGACCCAATTCTAAGTAATTTGTGAGAATGATGAAGCAAAGTCTCTGATTCACCTCAACTAATTTTCAACCTTTAGGCTACTAACTCGTGCTCGATCAGGTAACTACTACATTTTATATTATCTCGTCTGTTTATTTACGTCATGCTTCAATAACTGTTTTACATATTAATCACGTTAACAATGTTGTACTTGAAGGAGAAAATATTGAACTTTCGGGATTATTTTAAAATCGACTGTTTGTATATGGACTATTCATGTAAAAATAGGTACAACTGTTGTGAAGAACAAAC